TTTAAAGAATCGAATCGACAAGCAAGAAGAAAAAGAAGAAGAATGACGAATCGGAAGGATGACAAATTGATAGACATTGGGGATAGATATGGCGCGGCGCCGGTTGCTTAAGTTTCGAGAGTTCAGAAAGAGAGATTTCAGAAGGTTCAATAGTAGTAGAGGCCCTTGTGAAAGGATTCGTCCATGCAGGTACTGTCACCTTACCTATTTCTATCGCCAAGCAGTAATGTCAGCATTAACATGTTCCGGTTTTGAAGGGTAAGGGTGCTGGTGAAATTTCAGGCCCATGGGACTTGTTAACTTATATCTCAAGGTGACTGGCGCAGTGGCAGTACCTCTCAGATCTTTTCGATTTAAAACTCTGAGTGGCACTGCAACTGTTATGGACATGCGTGTAGCTTAGCATCAGGTGCACAACTTGGTTTTATTGTTAAAAAAAAGTTCAATTCTGTTTCATTCGTGTAGAAGGGTCTCCACAAGGAATTATGTTGACATCAGTGAGCATTATAATTACTGTACCTTTTTTGTACATTTTAGTAGAATTAGAGCTCCTTGTGAAAGAGTTCGTCCAGGGAAGTACTGCCACCTTACCTATTTCTGCCGCCAAGCGGTAATTTGAGCATTACTGCGTTCCGAATTTGAAGAGCAAGTGTTCTGGTGAAATTACAGGCACGTGGAACTTGTTGACTTATGTCTCGGGCGCTGTGGCAAGTGTCCCTCATATCTTTGTGATTTAAAGCTCTGAGTGGCACTACAACTGCTAGGGACAGGAGTGTTGCTATAATAATAATAATATAAGCACATCATTGTACAAACATTGTACGCACCGGTGTCTACGTAATTTTTTAATAATCAACAGTTCTTTGTTATGTTTAACAGTGAAATACTGGTGCAGTAATACCTATTACTTAGGTTATTTAATTAATTGAATGTACTCTGTCATGTGTCATTTTACTGCTTTGTTTAATTGACGACTGAAAACCAATTGTGTTATACTTATAAAAGAGAGAATGGTTAAATGTGACATTTTCGTTACACGTTTTCTGAATCTTGGTAATTGGAGATATTATGATATTAATTAATTTGCAATTGCACAATTAGTCTACATTATGATAGGGACTTAGGCGTGGCGACCCGACCCCGGAATCCTGTAGTCTGTCGGTAGTGGATAGACCGAGAAAAGTTAGTTACTACCCACAAGGTCATACGAAAAGGTGACGTCAATCAATATACATAGATTCTGTTTTACGTAGGAAGTTATTATCGATTATATTGAAAGGTGTCTGAGGCGTGACGTCTCATCGCATTGTCATGTTTTCATTATTTCGTTACTCCTTAGACTATTTTTCCATTCTCTAAGTGTTACACACGTCCGGACCTGACAGCAGTGTTGTAGAGACAAAAAATTGTTTGTCTTTTAAATTATTATTTGCCTAGCGAAATCAACTCAATTATTACAATTTGAATATATATGGTAGCGCCATAGTGTACACAACATTAATATACTTTCCTCATTGAACGGTAGCATTATTTTTTGTGTTTTTTCTGTGTTTTTATGTGGGTGAAATAGGCATTCATTGATTTGGGCATACATTTTTTTTTATGAAACCAAGTGACGGGTCGATCAAGTCGTGCACTGGTGGTAAGCGACACACCGGTTCATGTCAGTTGCAGTGCCATTCAGAGATTTCAATCCCAAAGATCTGAGGGCACTGCCACTGCACCCGTCACCTTGAGACGTAAGTTGACAAGTCCCATGTGCCTCTAGTTTCACCAGCAAGCTTATTTTTCAAAACTGTGACGACGTAATGCTTACGTTACTGCTTGGTGGCAGAAAAAGGTAAGGGGCAGCACTTCCTTGGCCAAACTCTTTCACAAGGACCTCTACTGCTAGTAAAATGTACAAAAAAGTACTGTAATTGTAATGCTCACTGATGTCATGATAATTCCTTGTTGAAACTCTTCACCACGAGAGAAACAGAACTGAACTCTCGAAACTTAAGCACCCAGCGCGGCGCCGACGCCATTCCCAGTGTCTCCCAAGTTGTCATCCTTCCTATTCGTCTTTACTCTACTGCTTCTCATACTTATACTACTGCTATACTCATATCACTCCCTTAGTGTATGTAATGAGTCACATCTACAAAATTACAATTTTTTAGAAGAGGTTTAAGGATTCTACTAAAGAAATTAGACGATAACTTTTTATATAATCTCAGTATAGAGTACTAAAAAAACCGACCTCAAAAGTACGTGGAATTACATATAATTACCAAGTTTTATTGAAATCGGTTAGCGGAAAGTGCGCAAACCCGGATTCATCCCCTAGTTCGCCACTATACGGGGCTTGATACAGGAGATAATAAAAATCGGTTCGAACTACTCAAACAATTTTTTTTGCTCCTTATAATAACATTTTGGTGCTATTTATGAAAATGAATCTTCACGCGTGAACCCTTAGAGGTGGATCATTTTCTTCAAAATTAAATGGGACCACTATGGGACCACTACCCTCTTTCCAAAAAAAAACGAATCATGAAAATCGGTACACAAATATTAGAGTTATCGCGTAACATACATACAGAAAAAACAATCGAATTGGGAATCTCCTCCTTTTTTAAAGTCGGTTAATAAAATGCCATATGTACCTGCATAATTTGTTTCATGTAGTTAGTATTATTTTTAGAGGAATTACATGTAATAAATGCACTTTTGACGTCCGATCACGTATGGCTTTGTTAAACAAGGCTACGATATTATTTGTTAATTAGCTTTGTCAGTGCTGTGAACATTCCAAGCGGGCCAACCTTAGGCCCGTTAGCGACCAAAGCGAAGGGAAGAAGAATAGAGAAACCAATTGTATTTGCTTATGTTCACTCATGACCTGAAGATGTCAATACAAAGGAATATTATTTTTAATTATTAGTAACAGAATATTTGTTACTAAACGACGCTTCTCTGCTCTTCTTTGGTAGATGGTCTTATTGTGACGGGACGAACGAGTCGAGCACCTGGTAGTAAGCGACACGCCTATCCACAAGAGTTGCAGTACTACTCAGAGCTTTAAATCTCAAAGATATTAGAGGCACTACCACTGCGCCTGTCACCCAGAGACATAAGTTGACTAATTCCATGTGCCTGTAATTTCGAACGCAGTGATGCACACTATTCTGCTTGGCGGCAGAAATAGGTGACGTGGCAATACTTCCCCGGACGAACTTTTTCACAAGAAGCTCTACTGCTCTACTGAGTTACAAACGTCGCAGTTATTTTAGAAAAATCGTTCTTGGTTCTTACGGAAGCTAACACTTTTTTGAGGTTTCTTACTCAGTCAGGCATCTTTAAACGTCTGGGCCACGATTAAACTTGTGCAAGCCAAGCACTTATTTTACATAAAACTGTACCGTACGCCAGCCGCTTGCAAACCGTTACCCTTACACAGCAACACATAGAAACCCATTCTGGCGTAACGGTGTTAATTAAGCCTACGGCGCAGCGGCACTGAAAATGTCACATTATCAGTTTTTTATTTGACGCAAAAATCAATATACATTTACTTTACTTACTTTTTTTTTATTACTGTTTTTAGTAACTTTCGCTTCCGCTTCCGTTTGCAATAGTTACCATTTCTTTACACCGCAAATACATTGCCAGCCCATGAACACAAGCCATTGACTTCTGTACCTTATATCGTTGAAAAATATTCAAAGAAACAATATAATTAAACTCTTTTTGTTGTACACGTGACTTTGAATTATTATTCTCCGATGATATACTGCATCGGACCACACTGCGTCACTTTTCTTCTCGATGGAATACAGGTACGGTTTTAGATATTAAGCATAAGAAAATAACAAAGTAATTTATTTACAGGTCGTATGTTGTCCAAAAACAAAACTAAAATACACATTACTTAAAGTTAAATGGCAAAGTTATAAGACTAAATAGCAAGCAATCTACCTCCGTGGCCGAACGGTTACCATGCCGGACTGCCACGCAGAGGTCCCAGGTTCGATTCCCGGGCCGGGAGAAATAGTTGTATGGCCTACAATTATTTCTCTCGTGAATTTGGGTGTAATTTGTGGTTGTCTATATGTGTGTCCATGGCACTCGCGACACAGGGTTTCCCTAGTGCGGGGCTATGTTGAGTGTGTGCGTTATTTATTTAAAAAAAAAAAAAAAAATCGTTTGTTTGTTTTTAACCTATTGTGTCCCACTGCTGAGCAAAGGTCTCCCCCAAATTCCTCCACTGCTCTCTGTCTTTGGCAATTTCTCGCCACTACTTTTCCAACGCATCAAGATCTTTCCGCCAACGCCTTCTCGTTCATCCCCACCATCGCCTTCCATCCTCGGACACCCAAGGACTGACGACGTTCGACAACTTCTAGAGTTGCATTTCGCTAACGTGGCCCACCTAATCGCATTTGAGCTTGGCTGTTTTGTTCCCTACATCAACAATGCCAGTCATTGAATGCAGCATTGTATTGTGTCGGTTAATGCGTTTAAGGCCCAGAATGCTGCATTCCATCGCGCTCTGGCAGATTTTGAGTTAAGACTTCTGGAACTCGGTCAGCAACCATGTCTGTCCATCGTAGGTTACATATCGATGAGTCGGCTCTTAAGCGACATAGGTCAATCTTCATGCGCCCTTTCAAGGACCTTTTCGAGAACGCTTGGAAGAGCTACTGGTCCTTGAAAGGTCACTTTCAAGGACCAGTAGCTCTTCCAAGCGTTCTCGATGGGATGACGGATTTCCTTGTCTTGCCTATTTTCCAAACTTGGTAACTGGTCCAAGTAGATATACTCATCGATGTACAAGTATTTCCTGCCCGTCTACCATCTGGTTTATTTTAATTTAATAAAATAACTATCTTTTCGAGGGTAATAATTTCGTCAAATAACACTACAAAACGAGATGCAAAAACTTGCAATAAAATACAAGATCTTTTTTAAAGATTTTTTTTTAATATTGCTCAGGAATGACATCATTGTGGAGAATAGCTAAGAACCACAAAGTAAATCTGCTTATGAAGCACCATCAATTGCCAAAGTATTTAGTTTTCTTGTTAACTACTCCGTTGTCATCCGTGAAGTCAGTCTTAACCCCCTTGTCCTCTACCACCTTGCCGTTCACCATTCTGAATGACTTTTGCTCTGAGTGGGACTGGAAATGGTTTTCAGAATCAAGGTTTCCTTGATTCTGAAAAAAAAATTAAAAGATTACTAACAATGAACTGTTAGAACTTAGCTACAAGTCCCTAGAGGGCTATAGAAATACAAATAAAGTGGGAGCAAAGTCGTACTTTGAATTATACACAATTTTCTTTGTGTATGATTCAAAGTACTATGCCAATCGTATTTTGAATCATACATGATTTTGTTTGTGTATGATTTAAAGTACTACTTTACTGTTACGGGTCCACTTATTTCTTTTAAATAACAATTATTATTTACACATTTGCAAAATCTATACAGATCATTGAAATTGCTAGGCGCCGCGCAAATGTGTGTCTTGTGATGGATACAAGCAACCGGCAGCTAGAGCGAATATTTATTTTCATACAATAAATATGAAATCGACACAGTCGCCGGTTGCGGCAATCGAACACTGTCGCCGTTGAGGCAACCGCGACTGTATGAAAATAGAATATTTGCTTCTAATTGCTAGTTGCTTGTATCCAATACAAGAGGCACACTAACAATTATGTATTTATAAATTGTATAAAATATATTATATAAAACAATTTTCAAATTTACCCCTGGAGCATCTGTATCATAGCCCGATCTGAAAATAAAACAATTCAAATTCAACTCAATGTATTATTTATTATCTGCGATTATCATCAAACGTGTGCGAACGAGTACATTGTCTATTTAAACATTTCCGAGCCCCGGTAAAAATACAAATCAAGAATCCCTGGGAAAATTAAACTTTCGAGTCTGTTTCAAATGTAGGTTTCCTTATTTTTAGGCTAAGCATTCAGACAATCAAAAAATGATATTTTAATTAAGTTCTTTATTAAGTCATAAATTATAAAATGAACAATTATTTATGAAAGTTACTTTTTCTTTTATTGTGGGTACTTAAGGCACAAAGGGCATTTAATATAGAGTCAGATAGGGAATTGATTTTGTTACTGCCGTTGCGTAATTCCCACAAATTGTACTAAACTCCACTCCACAGTGTGGCCATGTCCATGTAACCAGAATAATAAATTACTTGGTTTTACTAAATCATTTTAATACTTTTTAATAAGTGAATTATGTCTCGAACGTCTGTATATTTCCGAGACTAACAACTTTAGTCTCGAGTCTCAAAAATGCCGAAAAATTGTCGAGACTCGAAATTTTCGAGACCGAGATTCCCGGAATGAAAGCCCTAACGAGTACCTAGTAATACCTATATATACTTACGGTACTTCAGGGAAGTCACTCTTCTTTGATTCAGCATTACCTTCAAATAAAACATGTTTTTTAAATACATTTTTGCACTCATGTTTTTCAGAACTTCAAATAATATTTTCTTTTATATTTACAAATAAAGATATACAGTTTAAGTAAAAAATATATATATATATCCATTAATATTATACAAAACAAAGTTGAGAAAGTAAATAAAATATACCATTCACGTAGCACACGAAAGCCACGACAACGAAAATCAAAATAACTTTCGATATTTTTTTTGGTTGGTTTTTATAAAAAGTTTAGTTTAAACTTTATCACTGACTTTAGCAACTGAAATCAGCTACAGTTCTCTTGTATTTATATTATAAACTTAACCTTGAGAAATGTAAATGAGGATTACGCGTAGACTTATGTTTGCTTACTAATATTTGTTATATGGAAGGTTGGGGTTAGTGCTACTTAGATGAGAGGGTCTTTTAAGCATTCTTACGAATGAACATCAGTGTTTAATTAACGATAACGATTTCAGGTGTAATTTGCTTGCCTGTAAAATAAAGATTATTTGACTTTCACTTTAGGTTGAATGGGAAGAAAAGGAGAGCCAGAGCAATCCAGATACAAGAGACTAAGATTTTTTTAAGTGTCCTTGTGCCTGTAGACGATGCTCACCACTCTCACTCGGTGAAATGCCTGTCTGAAAACGCCTAGGCATAAAATAGCACTTCACTAGTTTAGACAGGCTGCCTACAATTCACAACGTAAGGGAAAACCTCTGCATAAAAAGTTTATTGAATATTACGATGTTTTACAACTACTGTGATTATTTTTTTAAATATTACTCCACTAGTTTGTTATTATAATTATTAATGTGATTAAGTGCAGAGATCTGCAACAAGCACATAAAGAAATTTGTGAGGTCTTCTGGTTCGTGAGCGCTTCAGACACGGCGTGCTGAAGGCGCTGGTTCGAATCCAGCCAGATCGAAGGAATTTTTCGTTGTTTTCGATTTTTATATTAATATAGTACATTTTGTTAAATATCTAAGTCTTTGTCTTTGAAAATAGCCTAACGCTACATTACATAGAATCCGACTGAAAAAGTAGATGTTTAATTGCTTGTCTATAGATATACATACATATTTATTTTAGAATATTAGTGTTTATGATTTGTTTTCTGTTATAATTCGAGAAGTTGATTGATCTCTTTGAAGCTGTGAATTCCATAAATAATAAAAATAATCTACAAAACACATTTTTTCTATCCTCTAGGCAAAACACTGATCTGATGTTTTTCCTAGTTTTCTGGCACTTAACTTAATTATTTGGGTAACAATACAAATATATCCGAAAAAAACCGAGTAACCAAAAACTACAAACCGAAAAAAACAGTTTTCAAAATGACTCGATTTTTGCATGCCCTATTATAAAAAAATTTAGCATGTTGCGTGTTCTGTATACTGTAATATCTATTAGGTTATTAATTTTATTTATTTCATAAAGTGAATTGTCCGTTCAAATGATTATTATTAAAATCCAATATCTCCCGCTTATAAACTGTAAGAATATGTATACAAGCCCTGTCAAATCCATAACCAAAAATATTTTCCATTGAATCATTTTCAAAGAAAACTTATTTTCAATGTACCAATTCACCCTACAGTGGAATATTCCATCAAATACAGACAAGTTCGATAAATAGTACTTCCAGAAAACGTTAGACAATGGGAAAATACATTCATATGTTAATGAGACCAATTAGAATATATAGAGCAATAGATATCTGTAACAGCAAACAATACTGTCATTGTTCAGCTGTAGGAAAATTTGAGACGTAGTTAATTGAAATATTATTTTTACATGATAGTCATAATAGCGTATATATATAGTTTATTTCGCTCTACGTTTGGGACGTGTTCGAACGTCCATGGACTCGAAGCATATTGCAACAATAATGTTGAAAATCATCAATGTATGATGGGCATAGGCGTCATTCATATCGCCAAGACGCAACGCAACGCGACGCGACGCTGCATTAAAACGAACAATGCAACATTAACTTTATCCTCTACAAAATAAGGCAACATTTCATTAAACAAACAAATGAAAACGAAGCTGCAGCAATCGGCGATGGACTACAGCGAGCTGCGGCGGGCGCACTTTAAAAATGTAATATACTACAGCACATATTCTCTACCAAATAAAGTATACATTTCTTCAAACAACAAATAACAAGTCAGCCACGGTAATGCAGCGTCTCCGCGATGTGAATCAACGCATAGACGGTTTATACTAAGTTTAATGAAATGTTGCCTTATTTTGTAGAGTATAAAGTTAATGTTGCATTGCTCGTTTTAATCTAGCGCCGCGTCGCGTTGCATTGCGTCTCGGCGATACGAATCAACGCATAGACGGTTTAGGGTCCTATTCCAGAACTCTACTCAATGCTCAAGTCAGGATTTGAGCAGACTTGAGTATGATTTTCAGTGCTCACTGCAATACTCAAGTCCTGACTTGAGTATTGATTAGACTTCTGGAATACGACTCTTAGACTAGGTTTTAATTTTTTTTTTTAACTAGACTGTACAAAGACTATTTGTACAGGATACGATTATCCGAATGTATTTAACATTGTAAAATGAAATAATTTGTATTTGCATAAGATATGGTTAAATAAAACTTTATAAACAAGTTATTAACGAGTGCAGCATATCTTACCGATCGTCGGCAAGCAAATATTCAAACTTACATTTCACTAAAATATTAATTCTTAATAATTATGTACCTACTACAGGGTTATTAATTTATTAAACTTATTATAAAAGTTCTTTGACGTTGTAAAAACAATTTTTCAAATGTGATTTCTCTATTTTTTCTACACATTTTATTTATCAGCTGTGCTTTTTTTAATAATAATAATACTCTGCATAACACTCATAGCCCCGCACTAGGAATGCCCTGTATCCCGAGTGACATGGACACACACACAGACAACCACAAATTACACCCAAAGACACGGATAAAATAAATGTAGGCTATATAAATATTTATCACGGCCTGGGAATCGAACCCGAGACCTCGGCGTGGCAGTCCAGCATAGTTGTGTATCTTTCTTACAACTCATAAGCGGGGGAAACTGGATTTTAATAGTAATAATCTGAAAGGACAATTCAGTTACTAGGCCAAATATAACTCTGCAGGATTAAATAACTAAATAACTAAATAAGTAACCGTTCGGCCAGGGAGGCAGTATGCTTTTAAATTACTCGGTATTTTGTGAATATTTAACCGACTTCAAAAACAGGAGGCGGTTCTCAATTCGATTTTTTTTTGTGTGCAGGTTTCCTCGCGATGTTTTCCTTTACCGAAAAACTCGAAGTGCAAGCTCAGACTTGAACCCACGACCCTGTGCTTCAGAGGCGGTAGGTCAAACTATTCGGCTGTCGTATCAGTAGTGCAGTGGAAAAGTGTGCGTATAGCTGGCATAAAGGTAGTGTTATAGGACCGATCCCTTTTACTATTTTACGTAAGCTATGTGTACTTATAATTTGAATCATAATTAGATATCAAAAATGTAAACAAATGGGATAACCGAGCAAAAATATATTTTAAATGTTAGTTTTTATTTTGACGATAATAAACGTTTAGAACTCTTTTCAAGCAGAACTATTCCCATTTTGCAATATATATTTTTACTTAATTTCGTTTAACACAGAAATTATAATAAAAGACTATGCTAAGGTCGTCAACAATTTTATGACATCATTCATCATTGCACTGGTAACTCAATCGGGATCAAAACATTTTTGTGCCGCCATTTTGTGTCATAGATGTCATTCGTGTTTCGTTTCATAAACTTGGAATGTTTTCTTGCCTCCGTAGTTCGTTTTTTTTAAATTATAGTGTAGTGTAGTGTAAAAGTTTTTCTTTGTTGTTAATTTGTTACATTTTTATTATGTTTTTGTTGTTCATTAAGAGCCTATGCACACGGCGTATGTATAAGCGCCGACGAAGCGATAATTTTAATTTTAGTTATATTTGTTACTTTCGTATATAAGCTAATATGTAATCAATGCCATGTTTGCGCGCGTTCGAATCGATTCACTACAGTGAGTTGTCGGCATGTATAAAATACGACATCGGCATAGGCTCTAAGTTTTATTGAGGTTGAGACATTTTGTACCGAATTCGTACGAAAATGGAATTCCAATCTATCATAATTGCAAACAGAAAAGGCAAACCTCTTCCTTTTCCAATTTTGTTAAAAATAGAAGATTTAGCACATCTGTATTCACATTTTGACATGACATTTCATGACATTTTTTTTTGTTTACATTTGGACATCTAATTATGATTCATACTATAGTTTACCGAGAATTCTCTCGGACGTGGGTGGACAATAATGGAAGAGTGCCAAATAGATTCCGTATTCATCTTCAGCGTTGTTAATGCTTATCCTGACAGGAGATTTGGAGGGGAACTCCTAGACTTTTGCGTGGAGCAAATGTGGCAGTGTGCAGATCTCGAAATATAGTATTTAGGAGTAAAGAATTCCTCCAGGGTAGTACTGCCACCTTACCTATTTCTGGCGCCAAGCAGTAATTTAACACTACTGCGTACCGGTTTGGAAGGGTAAGGGTGCTAGTGAAATTCCAGGCACATGGGACTTGTCAACTTACGCCTCAGGGTAATGGGCGCAGTGGCAGCGCTCCTCAGATCTTTACAATTTAAAGCTCTGAGTGGCACTGCAACTGTTATGGACAGGCGTGTAGCTTGCCATCAGGCGCACGACTCGTTCGTCCCGTCACTTGATATTATAAAAAAAGTTAGCATCCAAAAGTACAACCCCTGCGCAGGGTCGAACCTGAAAATTCTGTTAATCTTGTTTTTTGCTTGTGATAAGTAAACTTAACAAAGCTGCAAACTGGCAAGAGTAGATACGAGAAAGTATTTTACACATCGACAATTTTTAGTTGCATGCTCTTGTGTCAACTCTCCTAGGAATACAGATATATTAGCATCACAACGTACAAGTACATTTTTTTTTGTTTACAGTACTTAAGTAGTTTGCAATTAATGCATGTTCACAAACATAATATAACTTAACCTAACCTTTGTTAGCATAAGTTGCTTAGTTCTTAGTTCAGTCATTTTAGTTCAGTGAACGCAGTGCAAAAATGATTTATTTGTATTTTTCATTGTATTTGAGTAGTATATATATTATGTAAAAATTTTACTTACTCGAGAGCAATATCTGGAATTAACTGAAACTACAAAGTCTGCTGTTCTGTTTTATTGTACATTAAAATTTTCAAATTACTAAAATTCACATATGCGCAACAACAATATTCTTTTGTTTGTATTGCTAATTAATTTATTATTTTATAATGTATTTACTATACATATAGTATCATATTGGTTACAAGCTTTTATGTGTCGTAGTGTTTTTAACGTAATTGTACAACAACAACTTCATAATAAATAGAACATCTTAAACACAGTTCTGCGAGGGATATAGTATACAAAGTGAGAAGGAACAAAGGGTACAGTCATGAAAATACGACCTTTGATGACTTATTTGTGGAGTACGCTGACTTTTTTTTTAATTTTTAAGTAAACCTTTTCAATCAGAGTAAAGTTCTAGTTGTCATGTTCAGAGACATTGGTATTTCCATTTTCATTCGTAACAGGTGTGCCTCGAACAATGTTCTTGACAACTTTTCCATTTTCCATTACGATTTCCGAGTACAAGCCCGATGATTGTCCGTCGTCAGCTTGAGGTTCATTCATCTCCTTAATGTCGTCTTCTGATAGAGCTGACTGTGAAGGGAAAAATTCAAATCATTTTCAAGAATTTTGAAAAAAAAAGCTTGTGTCTTTAATTTTTTCATAAATTTCAAGCACAATTTGAGCACAAGTCGTGTTCCCTGCTACTTAGTACAGTCAATTAATATAATACTCTACGACCAGACAAGCTAGACTTGAACAGGCACGGTGTTGCGTGAATCATAAAAGTTGTGATTTATTTCTCAACTTTGTAGCATATAGCAGAGATAAACTGCAACAAAGTCTATCTAAGTAAGTATGCATGCACATGCCATTGCAATAAACTTTTTATTTTATAAAACATGTGGTCAGGCTCAGACTTGACCATAGGCCAGACAGATCGATGAGGCATCGAAGTTGCCCAGAATATGCGTATTTAGTTTAAAAGATGTAATGTGTGGACGTGACCCCGACAAACGCACACAGAAATATAGCTGCAAGCAGCATTTTACATTCCCTTTAGAGGCAATTGAAATGTTATTCAGAGGTGTTTTTACTTACAGGTAGTTCCTTCATTGGTGGCATGTCGGGGGAACTGCAAAATCGTAACAAATAAGGTAAGTACCTAGCTACAAAATATTGACATTTATCTGCAATACTTTCAATACAATCATTGTATGTAATGACAAAGTTTCTGGAACATGTTACTGAGTAACAGTGGTGAAGGAATAAAGAAAGTTAGCAGCAACGTATTAAGGAAGTAACACTCATTAATATTATAACTAGATTTACCTTTGGGACTTACTCATTATTTACCAATAGAATAAAATAGAAATAAAAGAACCAAACCCAGCGGCTGATAAACCATCAATAACTGACTAGTTTTGTAAAATTGTGTATTATATGCAGGTTTTTTTGGTTTAATCTTTCTTTTATTCCTTCTTTTTAGTTCTTAACACAGTTGTAACAGCTGGCAAAGTTCGAGCAATTGTTTCCGAAATGAGTCATGTATCCTATTTAATTATTAACAAGGACATGTCACTTCTGTCTTATTTATTAGAACGTTGTATATACTGTAAAAAAAACTAGTGAAATATCATGAATTGACTCTAAAATATTATAGTGTTTTATATTTGAATATTAAATTTTGTTTTTGAACATATAGTATTTTATAAGGCAGTACACTTGTTCATTCGTAATGTAGAGTCACCCGAAGATATTTGACTTTAAACGAAATCATGAACTATGTTTATTCTATTTAGCGTTTCATTGATTGGAAGGTCCAATGTTACACTTGACCCAAGAACGTTTAACTGCTTTACTCAGGTAACATAATCTTACCTATCATTAGATGCAGCTGAGTCATCACTACCTGAAACAAACAAATTACACAATTAATAGATAGCAACTGGCCCTAATAAAGAGTACATAATTTCGTTCATTTAAGACCCTGAATCGACGTCAGTAAGCCTCGTCGCAATGGAATCGGTATAAAACTTTACGATAATTGACATCCGCACTCGGAAGGAACGGGACTGAAGCTAAGAAATTCAAATTCAAATAAGATTTTATAGATGTTTTTCTGGTCGGCCATTTTGTACATGTCCAAACCGTGTCCAAATTGCTCTAAAATTCCGTAATTTTTACACAACGATCTGTTTGAAATTTTTTTCGTCTAGAAAATTTACCCAAAACGTGTTTTCATTTTATCAAAAAGTCTAAGTAAGTTGGATAAGAAATCAACAGGACTTTAAAGCACATTTTTTCTGATGTAAGCCCTTAATCTTTTTTTTTTCTTTTTTTTATTAGAACGTTGTATATACTGTAAAAAACGAGTGAAATATCATGAATTGACTTTACAATATTATAGTGTTCTCTATATCGCTTGCGATAGGAATGGTTTAAAGTCCAAAGTGGCAAGCCTTATGTGCTCTTGACTGTACAACTTGGGTAGTATTAATGGGGACAGCAGCTTGTTTTGCTAAACTGAGAATACTCATAGGAAATGAAGCTATTTTCGGGATTTAAATCGCGTATATTTATTTTTTCAAACAAACCGACGTTACCGGGCCTTTACAGGTCCCATGGTCACGGTTGACTGAGGTGGTACAGTCTTCAACCAGTTATGTCTAATATTGATGCAAACCACCCTGTAAAGGGCCCGAAACGTTGGTTTGTTTGAAAAAACAAATATACGCGATTTAAATCCGGTAAATAGTTTCATTTCCTATGTGTAACAATCGCGAAAACCTAAGAACTCGATATGAGAATAGTCAGTTACAATTGTTGTTTAAAAAAGTGTACCAAGAACCCAGGTTTCACACTTGTGTAATTATCGACTTAATTTTGTTATAATATATTTTTTACAAAAATTGTTATTTTTCCCCCTTTTTCTGCAGAACAATGCAAGTGTGAATCATTGTAAACTCATCTATCTACATTTTACCTACCATTAACACAGTAGATTACACTAACGACGAGGAGAATCAAAAATGCAACTTTCGACATTTTGCAAAGTATTAAGCAAGAACAAACGTTCGGATACAGCAAACGGCAGAAAAATACTACCTGCGTTAGGAAAACATTTGGTTTATATAGATGAACTTGACAGATCTTGGCTTTGCTTCCATTTAATACGTAAATATGAGTATTGATGGTTCGGGTAGTGTAGGGTGAACGAGACAATATTATGAAATTAAAGTAAAAAGAATTCACAATGTCGTGTCAGTGTACAAAAATAAATTTGGATGTGAAGAAGACGTGGAATGCAAAGCTTCTTTTTTTAGGAACGCCTATGAATGTATAGAGCCTGAACCGTCCTATTGTTACAAACATAAACGAAGATTGTATGAACTTGTATATTCAGGATTTTGTCAGCAGATACCATTGAATACACATCGAATGTACTAGATGGAAGATACTAACTCTTTTGATGAGTGAATTTTCAAACTGCCATTTTTAAGGACCATCCACACACATCAGGGCCGTGCCCGAGACGTGGACGGGACGTGCTAGTTTTTATGAATTACGGGCCCTTCCCGGCGCCGGCCCGAACACGGACATGTGTGATACAAAATATACGCAACCAAATTTTTTTGAGCCCCTGACGGAGCACGGGCCGTCCGCGTCCCGGACACGGCCCGAATATGTGTGGATAGACCTTTATATATCGCAGTGCAACCTATCGTCCAAAATACTCGTCACAATTTTGTTTAACGTTATATAACTTTGATCTCTAAAATTTAGTGACATGTGAGCTATTTATTTCAGTTTTTTTTTTTCAGATAATCTAGAACAATGTTGTATGCTCACAAGTTATCAATTATTATTATTACTCATTTTAAAAAAAGGATTTTATGCAAACAGTCTTGTTATTCGTTCGGCCAAATAACGGCTTTTAATGGTGTATAAAAAAGTGCTAACAACACTGGTAACACCTCAAATACCTTAGTAAGTATGTTGCCATATAAATAAATAAATATTAGACAACATCACGTATGTTGCTCCGATCTCAAAGTAAGTAACTAAAGTACGTGTTTTGGAAATCGGAAACAACGACGGTACCACAAACACCCAGACTCGAGACAATATAAAACAGATTTCTACATTGACCCGGCCGGGGATCGAACTCGGAACCTCAGAGATGGTGGTGCCACTAAGAAAACTGGTGTGCAAGCCACTCGACCACGGAGGTCCTCAAAAAAATAAGAAAATACACAAATTTTCTTTAATGCACTATCACCTATATAGCACGCCCCTCTGGTAAAAGTGTCCAGTATCGTCGTGAGTCGAGTCCAAGCCCATCTGGGCGCCCTCTGCCCCGCTACTTAAATTTTGAAACGGGTCAGGAGCCTTCAGCTCGCCTTTTTATCCGGTAGTGCACTGCTCACCGCAAGTTTTTTTATAGTATCTACTACTTGTGTACTACGATACAAGTACGGTATTGAAGAAAGAGATATGGGGACTGTCGAATTCAGAACCGGAAAAAAAATTGAAAATTTATTTTAAAAAAACTTTTTAGATGTGCCAATTCACCCCGCTACGGAACTTAACCTGAACAAAATATGACAAGTTTGATGAATTAGACAACTAACTCTTTCTGCACGGTCTATGAGGAAAATGAATGTATATATTATGTTAATGAGACCAATTTAAATTTATAGGCCAATATATATCTGTAATGGCAAACAATACTGTTGTCATAAGGCTATAGGAAAAATTGTGACGTAGATGAAATAAGATTTTACATGTATCGAGATCATTAGGAACATAGGAACAAACAACAATATTACTCAGCAGTTGTAAAAACCCAAAACTCCATACCATTAAACCAACCATAAGGCTAAACAACAAACCATTGGATGAAATAATTAATTTTATATACTTGGGCAGTTTATTATTATATATATAACCAGTGATTCTAGGTGTACTCGGATATAGCCTCACGAATCGCAGTGGCTAAAAAGGTTAATTTTCAAAAAAGGCCAGGAAACGATTGATAAATGTATATTTGGAGTATTGCATTGTTTGGCAGTGAGACGTGCACAATGGTACTGAGAGACAGAGAACGATTGGAGGCATTTGAGATGTGGTGCTGAAGAAGAATGGAGGAAATCAGTTGGACGGAAAGAAAGACCGATGAGGAGGTGTTAAGAATAGTGAATGAATGGAGAGGTTTATTAAAGACAATAGAGAACCGAAGGAGAAAAATGTTTGGTCATCTGATGCGTCACAACAACTTTCTTAGAAACATAATAGAAGAGAAGATCGAAGGAAAGAGAGGCAGAGGAAGACCGAGACGAAGTTATTTAGATCAGATAAAAGAAAAAGGTAATGTCGTGATTCAGGAAATCAAGGCTAAAGCGCTAAACAGAGATGATTGGCGATTCTACACCGACAAGAGCCTAGCTCTTAAGTTACTATTTTTTCAAAATATTTGTACATTTACAAAAAAAGGGGTGTGCTCCGAAACAGTAGAAAAAAATACTATGTTTTTATTCAATCGTTCAGAAATAAATAGGAAAATTTTAAACAATAAACATTAGTTTTTATTACTACGAAGAGTGAAAAGTGTAATCTTATTAATTAATTAATTATTTCAACTTTTTCATAACAATGTTTTTTTACTCTTCATACAAAATTAAAATTGCCGCCCCCTGACCTCAAATGTTTGACGCTTCATAAAATACAAAATGTCTCATTAATCAGGTGCATGTTTTTGTATTATAGACCTTGATTTAATGTAGTTTCAATATTAAAGCGATATGTGGTTTCATAATAAAAATTTAAGTAATATGCTAAAAATAAAATTAATCATACTGATTTACTTTTCTTTTGTAACGCTTAATTTCCACTTTCACTTAATTTCCGAACTCATTCGTTAGATTTTTGCTTGGGCACCACTAGAATCATCCTTATTGGCTGTTGGTTTGGCGTCCTCGGCCATATTTTTCATGACAATCAGTCCAAATGTGATGGTCAATATTTTCATGACGTTAATAGTAAAGAACTTTTTCATGATAAGGTGTCTTGATTTATTTATCCCTTCGTAATACGTGTAAAGTAAAAGTTTATTAAGCGTATTACATTTGTAATATCAGGTTATAACAACCCATTGACATTTAATAACTCATGTTTATGCTATTATTTCGCAACATTTTTATGCATTTCGTTACATAACAAGATTAAACTCGTACACAGTTATAACCCGACTTCGACAATGCAAAAAGGAATGAGTTTGGCATTAGGCAGATATGTCAATATTATGCATATAAATGATTGTAATTCTGATGAGTTATATATGTAAGTATGTAACGAAATTGCATTTATCTAATAAATAGTTGGTATTTAGAAAAAAATCCCCTTCCAAGTCGCCTAATCAACCAATTAACCCAAACCATAATTATCTTTTTGGGAATGCCTCCAAAAACAAACTGAATTACTTCAGATATCTGACCTTCCTATCGAATACATGCTGGTGAACGATGAAGATAATATCTACCTTTAGATTTTTAAGTACCAATTGCGTTAATTATGATTAGAGCATAATTTTGTGATTTAAGTAAGGAACCAAACTGTATTTTCTAAAATGTTAACATTAGTGTTACGAAAAAAATATATTTCAATATTATTTATTATTTTTCATTTGCTTTTTGCGATATTAATTGATTAATTGCCTACTATTACTACTATTACTTAATGCCATAGTGATTAAATTAATTACATTTTGCCAATGTATAATAAGCTTAATGTTAAAATGTTTGTAGTATTTCGTAACGTGCTTTTCGTTACATACAATTATTTTGAGAAATAGTCAAATAAGAAGAAGACACATAGGAAATGGAACAATTTCTTTTTTTCGGATTTAAATCATACATCCGTGACCATAAGACCTGTACTGGGCTCAAAAGATTGGTTTGGTTGAAAAAATTTTATTATTATTATAAAATTCTATATGATCTTTATGCTCTGGCTTTCATATTGCAATATTATAGTAGCGAAGATTTTGTGTACACGATGATTTAAGTCGTAGTATGTAAAATTGCACAGTAGATGAAAACAATTACATATTACCAATTTATACGCTTGTTAACGTCTGGAGTTATTACACGAGACTTTTGTACTAGTGCTTACCTACAATTGGTTAAGTTTTCGTGACGCACCTGCGTAATTGTTTTTTCAAATTTATTCTTTTTAGTGTTCCGTATACATATTTATGATATAATCATTGACTTACAAATAAATGGACGACGGGTCTAATACAAAAACCACGAAAAAAATGTCCCAAGTCAACCTATTCGAAATTTAAATTGTAATGTCATCGCAGTATCGCGCTGTCAGTCGAACAAATGAAGACTAAAGCGGAGTTTGGCGCTCTGTATACGATTTTAGCGCCTTACAAGTGCGGACACTTTTTAGCGCGGACCCGACGTCCATATAATTGTAAGTCAATGGATATAATATACGTTTTAGGCAAGTTGACGTCAATTAGCCTGTATTTTTTTTATTTTCTTTCAATAACACCAGTTGTTCATACTACTAACCGCAACAAAAAAACTTCATAAAAGCATTCACTAACGCATTATCTCCCCACATTGCAACCCAGCACAAGACGAGCAAACATTGTTTGTTCCACTTAACAATTTCGGACTGCACAGTCCCATAGATTCTATTGCTTTATTGGTAACTTTTTGTATAATAAAATACATCCTTTACTATGTATACATATATTCAATGCATACATTTTATGGGTAGTTTGACCATTCGAATCATTTCACCGTTTATAAAGTTTAATGTATATTTTCACAAAAACTTCTGTAAGTTCTTTTGCAAATAAAAATATTATAAAATATTTAGCACATTTTCCGTTCTTCTTTGCTATAAAACCGCTGCTGAAGCGAGAACTGATTGCCAATAGTTTATTTATTTATATGAGTTAATTTCAGTTTTTTTTTATAATATCATGTAACGGGACGAACAGGTCGTGCGCCTGATCGTAAGCTACACGCCTGTCCATAACAGTTGCAGGGCCACTCAGAGCTTTAAGTGGCAAAGATCTGAGGGGCACTGCCACTGAGCCCGTCATCCTGAGACATAAGTTGATAAGTCTCATATGCCTGTAATTTCACCAGCACCCTTACCCTTCAAAACCGGAACCCGATAATGCTGAGTAACTCGAACGCAGTAATGCAAACTATTCTGCTTGGCGGCAAAAATAGGTACGGTGGCAGTACTTCCCTGGACGAACTCTTTCACAAGGAGCTCTACTGCTACTGAATGATATTTGCCATGATATTATAATATTTCTTCTTCTTCTTATCGTGTCGACGGCATATACTATAATGTTTGCCATCGTGGTGAAAGGATTTGCCATTCGGCGTAAAGTATTCGCCGATTGTTGTGAAAGGAATAGTAGCTACGTCGAGTAGGTTCCTTTCGTGCGCCCCATAGAATACATAAGAAATATGTTTAGTCGATCAATTTTAACATTGATTCTCGATTTACCTGATCGTATCCCATCACTGGTTCATAGAGTTTGATATGTGTCATATTATTAATCAAGCAAAACCAAAACAATACATACTATAACGTAGTGATTACATTCTCTTTGATACATACAGATGAAATCCATTCTTAGATTTACATACTTTCTAAGATCGTCGCAGAAACCGTGATGCGTTTGTAGAAATAGAAAGTCCTAAAAGTTTGCAAATATACGATGCGCCTGATTTTAGTTTTATAGCAATAGTATCATAAAAATAACTTGCTCCGCATGTAGGTACAGGAATGAAAATTAAACAAAAGGAAAGATTTTAACTTTATTCTAGAATAGTTTGGTTAATGTCACAAAATGAACTCGATAATTTATTATCTACAAATATTATAAAGTTGATGCTACATATTTTTTTTTATATCTTTACAGTGCTCAAAAGAAATGCAGGGTGACTTTTTTATCAGTAGCCAAATTTTTCATAATTCCAAGACTCGATTTTTTAAAAGAAAAATAACAGGTAACATTTTCACATTAAAATTATTAAATTATTTGTCCAAAGTAATAATCGATAATGTTTGGTTACCTAGTCCATACAACACGCTAGTCAGGCGAATGAATAAAAATATAACGCGAACGCGAAAACGAATTCAAGTGATTTGGCTGATGCTGTGGAATGAACTCGTGAATCTAAAGTCAAGGTATGTTGCGACTTAAAAAAATGACTATATATATATATCTGCCTCGATGGCCGAACGGTTACCATGCCGGACTGCCACACAGAGGTCCCAGGTTCGATTCCCGGGCTGAGACAAGTATTTGTATGGCCTACATTTATTTCTCTCAAGAGTTTGCGTGTAATTTATGGTTGTCTATGCGTGTGTCACATAGGGTTTCCATAGTGCGGGGCTATGTTGAGAGTGTGCATTATTATAGGACGTCAAGAGAATAAACTACTTCATGCCTTAGTAAAACAATATACTACAGATAGACACCTCTTTTATTACATCACACAATATACATGCGTTAGAGATTTTGATTTTAAACAACTCTAAAAGATCTTACTGAATTGTGATCTTTGAAATAGTAAACAGAATTTTTGAAATTTATTTTTTAAACAGGTATAATATTTAATTTAACTTAATATAAATTTACACTATTTACTCGTATTTATTACACTACACTTTGACACATGATGATCAGTATTCATTTAGTTACCTCCAAGGTGGTAATAGTAACATAATTCTAAGCGAGAGTGGTGTAAGAGGTTCCTGTATTCTATCAATTTTCATTATTGTCTTTTTCCTGACTTGGCTTCTACTGTATCTGTTTGCCTGACTTTTTATAATTAGTTTTTATTTTGGACCACATTTGTATTGAAGTCCTGTTTAGGTTTTATGTCGGGATTGATGTCATTTGCTGTTGCACTTTTACTTGATTTTGAATGTTTAACGAGTTTTATACCCTTAGTTAACTTCTCTGGTCTTTGATCACCACTGGGATTCTTATCTCCCCTTGGTTTTCCACCTTCAGGAATATTATTGAATTCTACTGTCTCTTGCCTGACATTTCCATTGATGTTCACCATACTATGAGCACCACCTCTGCTCTTTTGAACTCCATCAACGTCTGAATACTGGGAATGGCTGGATGACGTCACTATTTGTATATTTTCATTGGCACCTGGTTTTGCGTTTTTGATTTTTTCAAAGTTGATTGGTTTTACTTCGAGAGTGTTTATTGGTTTTACAGGAAGAACAGGTTCCGTCGGTGGAGTAGGCTTAGTTGGAGGAATTGGTTGTATTGCGGGGAAGAATGATGGAAACTCGGGCATCTAAAAGTAAATAAGTAAATAAATAAATTACAAGGTACTTTATAGATGACAAGAAAGGTTTGAAACAAAAGATGTTAGAATGATAGAGATTATTGTTCATTCATTTCGAAAAATAAAAATTTCATAACGGTATTTTAAGTGACAAACTATATGTATAAATTTGTTCGATAAATTTATTTCTCGTATATGAATTGATTTTTAAGCTAAACTTCACAATAAACATGAAAAAAGACAAAAACTATTTTTTCTGTGTTTTGTAACATTTGTGTAAGTTGCGAACTTTAAAAATGGGTCGTTTTCTGTAAATATTAATTAATTTAATAAATTTTTTTAAACTAGTTTCATTCAATTATGTATGAATGCATATTTTGTTACTTGTGGCATTTTAGGCATCGGTTAGAAGAGAAAATAAAATGGAATAATTGACTGCTTAGGTTGGGCTATTACCAAAGTTTAAAGCAAATGGCGTAATATTTATTTCGCATTACGATAAATTAAAAAAAGAAATGTCGCCTTTTATTCATTTATTTTTACTTAACTTCTAATATTTATTTATACTTACTTGTGGCATTTCAAGCATCTGTAACAAGAAGCAATAGAATAATGTTGTAATATTATATTTGTTTATAAATATATAATTGCTCAAGATACCTATCTAAGTTTTAAATTACATCATTTATCAAATACTCATATATTTGTTTATTTCACTTACATGGTAAGTTTCAATTTTAAGTCTCGATATAAAAATTTGAAATGTACGGTGAATTATTAATGGTACCTATAAAAAGTATATCGCATTCTATTCTTTTATTTTGAACATATTCATTGCTTACTTGCAGCATTTCAGGCATATTTATCAAGAAACATAATAATGAGTTATATCACTCCTTAAAGTTTTAACTTACTGAATTTTAAAACAAATACTGTAATATTCGCATATCGTAAATTTTAATTAAAATAAAAACAAATACTGTAATATTCGTATATCGTAAATTTTAATTACAAGTCTCGTTACAAAAATAAAAACAAATCAATAGAAACAGTACAAGATATTTTTATGTAAGTTGTAGATTATAAAATATTAAACGTTTCTTTTTTGGAATCTATCACATTAGCTGTAATTTCTTTTTGATGCTTTAAAAAAATATTTTAAATATATTTATTATTAGAAACTATTTTTTTCGGTTTAGTTTTTTTTTTAACAAACTCTGATTCTTTGCAGGTCCTATGGCCACTGTAATGTGTCTAAGCAACATAATAAGTTTAGTAGGTCATTGGATTTCGTATTGAAGGAAATGTTGATTAGGCGTAAGATTCCAAATTGTAATTCAATTATTTATTAATTTCTATATGCACCATGAACGAATGAAGACACTATCTACGATTATTCCTGTTTCACTATACGTCATTGGCCAGATGGCATCCCAACTACCTTACTGCACAACCAACCTAATATGTGATCACGGCAGACTGTCAGAACAAACATACGTAACATTTCCACTTTGTAACAATCGCGAAAATCTAAACAGTCGATATACTTATTTGTTACTTACTTCCGGCATTTCGGGCATCAGTAACAAAATGCAATAAAATTGGTTATGTATTTGCTTGCCTATGTTAGTAATAAATTAAGGAATATAAGCTAAAGGAATACTCTAATATTTGTTTAAGTTATGTGATAAATAAGTTATCGTTTTAAACCTCGTCATAAAAATGGAAAAAATCAATAGGTAGATTATACGTTAGTTTTGAATTTATATCTAAGATGTAACGAATCAAAATAGAACATGTATATGGTCATGCTTACTGTATTGAAAATAGATTTTAGCGTGAAAACCACAGAGAGCGGGTGCGGGTCGGGTGCGTGTCGGCTCGGAAGCGCTACTGGTGTAATTCCGTGTATTTATATGAACAGCAACATACCACCCGCGCTCCCGACCCGACACCCGCTCGACCCACACCCGCTCTCTGTGTGTTTTACGCTTTAAGGCAAACAGTTATTGCTTCTCCAAATGGCGAATTACGCTGTTTAGTGAAAGATATCACTTGTTACTAGACTGTGTCCGGTATTCAACAGAGAGCGACGTTGATGAGATACCTGCAGATTAGCCGAAAGTCCGTAGGTGATTGGAATTGTATATTAGGCAACCCCATACGAAACGGGCAAAAAATTTGTTGATATTTATTGAATAGGCTATCCAGAAGCGGATATGTAAGCTTTAGTTTGGGTTCCGATGGAACTTCCATATACATTGTATAAAAGTTCCTGAATTTATATTTTAAAAAATTACTTACCTCAGGCATTGGAGGCATTACAAACTCAGGTATATTCATCTGAAAAAAAAATGTGATATGAACATATCGCTTTCCACAAAAAAATTGTATTAATTCTAAATAAATTAATTCTTTATATTATAATGCAAGTTTATATGCATATATAAATAAAATCTACATTATAATGCATTGCGTGACTGTAGTTTCAATCAGGAACAACCAACTCAAAAAACAGGAGATATTAATTTTGAAATTAATAAACTTAAAAAAATAATACATATGTATATAATTGTAAAAAAGTGACATTTATATGAAAATAGAAAGCATGTATCTATAGAATAGAGAATAGAATAGAATCGTTTATTTCATGTTATCAATGTCACAATATTGCAATTGGAAATACAATGTCAAGGGATAACTATGATCGTCAGTAATAAAATTATAATAATAATAATGAATATAAAATAAAGTAGTATAACTACTGCTTGTCGGATAAAATAAAATTAAAATTGCTTCAAAAGACATCGACACTGTACAATTCAATATCCAATAAAAGGTTTTTAAGTAGGGTACAAAACGTTTCATCGTTTCTAACACTTTTCAGGTCTGTGGGTAGATGTTCGTAGAATATTTAATTGTGTGCAAGCCCTCACCTGTCGTAAGACAATCTGAAACAATAATAAATATATTTATATTATTATAATTTTTTAGAGCCAAGTAACATATTTTGTATTGATTTTGTGTAATATATTAAAAAATACAAGTTGAGGGATACTTAAATATTATGTTATAATACAACTATGGCAACAGTAACTATAATCACCTGTTTATTAAATCTTCGGAGCATAATGTGCATGTAGTGTAATATATACGAGTATAATTAATTATATTAAATTATATTATTATATTATTTAAATTATTATATTTATGTATATATAACGGATGAATTGCTGTATTTTATATTAATTGTCCTTGCTCACCGGCGGAATTCTGAAAAAGAAAACAAAGTTAACCAACTACATATCTACACATATTATAAATAATGTGATTAATACCAACGACTGAACGAAGATTAATTACAACTTCGAGAGGAATGATATTAATTTAAATTATTTTGTTTCACTTACTTTCCATCCACACCAGGAGGATTCTTTCCAACTGAAAAATAATTTATTTATGCCATTATAATATACACTCATGGACATACTTAGGGGAACGCTAAAAAAGCTGAATTATGATATCAATTACAACACTGGACACGTATATCAGAACGTTAAATCGAAATCAAAAGCCGATTGAAGTCATTCTTTTTTTATCCGACTTTAAAAAGGAGGATTTTCAATTCGACTGTATTTTCTTGAATGCATGTCGCTCTATTACTCCATTATTTGTGAACCGATTTTGATGATTCCTTTTTTATTTATTAGAAAGAGGGTACCTCAGTATTGGTCCTATTTAAATTTGAAGATAATATTCCACTTGTAAGGGTGGCAAACGAGAGGATGAATTCGGTTTTGCGCACTTTCCGGTAACCGATTACAATAAAACTTGGCGAATAGGTGTAATTCCACGAACTTTTGAGATCGGTTTTCTTTTTGGAATCAAATTAAACGTTCCGGTATATGTGTGGCCAATGGTTCACATGAACATTGTTATCATAATGAAACCTTTTTAACGTTCCTTTAAATATGTCCATCAATGTCTAAATCTATTACATAATTACATGTTGTGTAATCAAATACGTAGTATTTTAGAGAACCTAGTAATATTCTCAGAAATTGAATATTCATTCATCATTCATTATAAAATATCGAGCCATGACCGCCGACTTATCATAAGCGACATTTTAAGCCATAGATTCTCAAAGTGGTCCGTACTTGTACTCTTGCTACCTGGCTCATTTATAAATATGTAAGTATTACACAGTTCCCTAAAAAGATAATTAAACTCACGTGACATATGATGTATGTTGCCGTTGTCATTGATCAGTATTGTAGTACCACCATCCTTCACCAGGTTTCCATCTTTATCCTTTGTATAAAAACTGGTTGACGATACCGTCATACCGTTAAAGTTTTGATTTGGACCGGGAACCATGGATGCTACATCAGCTGGGGTGGGAATTTGGAACCCACCTGCGGGGAAAGGTCTGAAATTCATGAATGGGAAATTCTCGAAAATTTTAAACGGATTCCAAGGTTCGTAATTTTGGTATGGTTGGGGTTCGTAATTTTGGTATTGTTGGTACGGCAGAGGCAATCCGGCAGAAGCGGCGGCGTAACTTTGAGGGTAGAATCCCTGTAAATGAGATTAATTTGTTTGTAAGTATTATTTTATTTCCTTTGTGTGTTGGAATATCAACTTTAGGAGTGCCGCGATGCTGACAGCCACTTACCCCAGGTCTGAAAAAAGAGAAAGATTTTTTTTTTAATATTTGCATTAGTACTAAACAGGTCAATAAATTAAAAAATATATCCCAATATAGCCATAATGTTTACAACACCCACCAAAATGGCAGGAATACTCCAACTTGAGTTGACGCCTTTAAATTTTGGTTAGGTCTGACGACTACTGCGCAGTTACCATAACGTGGTAACTTAATGGCTACTACGTCATCGACACCTTGATCTTAAAAATTTCAAATATATTGACAATGAAACTAATAACTTGGACTTACCCAAAGTAGAATGCTGCAAAAAAAAAAGAAAAAATTAGTTGACATTAATTTACTGGTGGGCTACTGGAATGTCACATTTCTAAATATAAATCCAAAACTTCATAATTCATAAAAGAATTGACAAATACTCATTGCAAGCTTATGGTTACAAAGTCTTTATTTTTGGGCAAAATAATTATAGATTATAAGCAATTAAAATTTTTAATAAATCTGTTTTGAACTCAAAAGATCTGTTTCAAAACAAAGTTTGGTTCCTAAAATTTATTGTTTGAATGTAAATGTATGTATTGAAGTTTCGTCAATTAACGTTGATTGTATATTATATTTGTACTTAGTATGCAGGTTAATTTATTGAAAACTTGAATCTAAATAATCGTTACAAATGAATTACATAATTTTATACAATAATTGAATACCGCTACGTGGGTCATATTCATCTAAAATGTACATTTGCAGGTAATTTTTGTCACAAACCTTTTTCGTGGTTAAAAATATAATTAAATACAATAATATTATTTCGTACCGTTAAAATACTGCTGGTATTTGTATATCAAAAACCATTAATTTACTAATTTAATAATAAATTTCATAAATTATAATAGTTTTTTGAACAATTAAAATTTTAGCAATTTTACTTTCTATGAAATTTTAAATGTCACATCCCTCGGGTGTCGAACTCAACGGATCATTACACCCGCCAGTTAGCAGAGAAATTCATGAAGTTGCCATATTATGACTGTAATATTAATATAGTTGTTAGATCTTAAAAAATAATTACAGTTTGGAACAATAATGTTAAAAAAATAATTTTAAATTATTGTAAGTCTTTTTTCCGTTTCGTAACATTTTGTTTCGTTGCGCAAATCGAACGATACAGATTCATTAAAAACAAATAATAATCAATTTTAATGTAATTGTTCTCTCAACGAATGTATCATGGACATATGCCTATTTTAAAACGTCAGCCGTGAATTTCGCACGTCAATTTCAGGTACATTTAATTTTCGGTTTGGTCACGAAATTTCAGTAATTACGGTGAGAAGACTATCAAATTATTTAAATATTTCTTTGTTTTTATAAAGTACAGTTAAAATTACGTAGTAAGGCTTCTTTTGATCACATTAGCGAGCGCTTATTCAAAGAGCTAAGTTATATTTTCTTGGTTTTTTATTGTCGGTTTAGTAACGTTTCGTTACGCAACTGTACGGAAAAGGCTGTGATCACATTGAGCTCTTTCTAACCATACAAAATTATGTACTTATTTGCTACCTGTTCAAATGCTATATAATCCACGACCTCCGTAGTCGAGTGGCTTGCACATCGGTTTTCATGGTTTCCCATATCTGAGCCCCCGGGTACGAACCCAGGTCGAATTAATGCAGAAAAAACTAACTTTTCTATATTGCCTCGGGAGTAGGTGTTTATCGTACTGTCGTTATTTTCGATTTCCATAACACAAATGATTAAAAGTTACTTACTTTGGAATCAGAAGAAAGAAAGACCAAGAGATACAAAGACAGAAATGGAGTTACGAAAAAAGAAGTAAAAATAATGTAAGCCTACAAGAAATAATACATTTAAATGGAAATCCTGCATACATTCAACTAGTGCTGGAAAGCAAAAAGCTAAAAAAAATGTATTCTGATTTTGACATAAACGAACGTAGGCTGAGACAACAAAATTATCGGCTGATTATAAAAACCTTGACAACTTTTCTATTATGCCTAGAAAAAAAATTAAATTATGTTGAATCGGCTTATAATGCGAATAAAGACTCACTAAATATTATTATTTGTTTTTATGTCTTACATTATGTGGACTTATACTATTAATGATTATTTCCTCGCCACGTCGTCGTGGAGTGAAAGGGAAAGAATATAAATAAGTTAGTTAAATTTTTTCAACTGTGCCCAAGCCCTTATGTTCCGTTTCGTTTCTGTTTAGTTACATGTATAATTTAAATGAATATGACCCACGTATAAACTTTAACTTACTTTCTTATAAAAACATAAATTAAGAAAATGCGTTCGAACTATGCAATTCTTCAATAGTAAGCTTAAATGAATTAATGACTGTTAAATTAAGTCTAGCTGCGGACATTTTCATTATTGAAACTAAAAACACTTGTGCAAATAAGGACGTGTGTATGTAACAATAACTATTCGTTATTGACGAAACTATTGTACTCGAATCTAGCACTTTCCACGTAGTTGAAGCATAAGGAGATCCAAAATAGACATTTTGGCGTATTGCAACCAGACGAAAAAATCCTATTTTCGACATTAAAAAATTCAAACTCAGTTTTTTTTAATTGACAATAAAAACAGATGGTGTCGGTGGTCAACTATGGGGTACGAAACACGTTTGACTAAATTTCGCTCAATAAAAAAAATCACAAAATTTTCATTTTTTACTACATTCGTCTACGGAAAAATCTGTTTCATTCGATTGTTATAAGGATATTTCAATGAAAAACTTTCTCTCCCGTGTTTCGTAATCTTAAAGCATAACGTATGTTTTATTTATTGAGGATATTCTATTATTTTTTTAAACGGCGTATGTTTAAACATCGTGACTCGTAACTCACACGTTTCAAAAACTACGCAAATACGATACTATTTCGCCTCAAACCAAAAGTTATAGAAAAATCTTCAAAAGGGGTAATTACACGAGCTGTAGTTTAACTGCACCGCAAGCGCAAAATCAATTGAACAGTAATTTGTATTGCAGTCTCGACGGGACTGCTTGTGAAGTTGGTAGTTGAGAGCCCTAGATACTATCAAAATCTGTCGAATATAACACCAAGATAGGCTGCGTATGCATGCGCAGCCTATCTTGGTGTTATATTATTATATTAAAAAGAACTTTTTTCTTTCAAAATGTTATTTTGTCTATGGTCTTTTAAAAAATAATATTTAGCACGTACTTTAACAATTGACGGCAAACTTAATTAAGCTTATTACTCTTGAAAAGTTAACTTGTGAATCACAAAGATGAAATACAACACTCATCATGATAATGCCAAACCACACACATCTTTACAAGGCCATCCAAAACTACTGCAGATAGGTTGAAATAATCGTCCACCGTATTCACTTGACTTAGATTTTCACTCTTTCGGTCAACACAAAATTCATTGGATGGACACGACTTTGATAATGAAAAGGCCATCAAACGACATTTACTATTTTAAAAGTGGAAACAGGAGTTTTTACAAATGGGGAATTCTAAAATTACCCGAAAGATGGCAAAAGATTGTAGATTAACATGATTAATACATAATTGATTAAATTTTTATTTTTTTGTTTTTCATTTTTACATTGACAACGCACGGACTTTTTGGCCACCTAAATTTTTACAGGCTATAATGGCGATAGTATAACTTAAAAACGATATTTTCATCAAAATATAAAATTAAATACAATTAAATACAAGAATTAAATACATTAGATGACGGCTAGTTTACTTTATTTTATTTTGTTTTATTTATAGCTTTGTTGTGTTTTTTGGTCCGATGGCAAAATTGTGTATTAAGTTTTATCTGTCAAGTATATTATTAATTATTATTATATATTCATAAATGATTTTATTGTATATGAGTTTTTATGTCTAAAATAAAATAATGTCGATTATTATTAGACACTTACCCTGTGTCGAGACGACAAAAGCAAGCAAAAGAATCACCGAGGATGCCATTTTATGGCGAAATCAATTTGTTTAAAAGACTCTCTTCAGAAAGGGTTTACTGTAGCGCTCTTGTTATAACACTGAAAAGTCATGCAATAGGTCTATCTTTAAATATTGTTCATTACTTGTTGTTCAATGTTTTCCATTTGTTCAAACAAACGAATGACACTGTGTTTCCATGAACAACGGTAACGACAACGTGAGGAGCTTCTCGAAAGAAGTAGTAAAATTAAAATATGTTTTGAATAATACACTAACAAGGCATACAATTAATACAAAAGAATACATTTAACGGTGACTCAATAATTTGTCAGAAAGAATAAACGTCACTGAAAACATTATGAAACTGGAACGGAAATTTGCATTCCTCGAATCAGCCCTCCATGATTAGAAGACCTATTGTATGGATAAATAACAGAAGTTATTAGGTAATACGTGGGGCACACTAAAAGTTTCCGGAATGAATAAGAAAAAAATAGTATAAATGGTCAGAAATGAATTTATTGTTTCTCAAAATATTCTCCGTTAGCTTTAATGCACTTTTTCATACGAATGAATCAATTTTGAAAACATTTATACCACTCCTCCGTGACAGTCTCTGAAACATATTTTTCGTACTCCTCGACAGTCTCTTCAGCCCCCCGATTCAGAACTTCGATATTTTAACCGAATCATGCGATTGGATATCGTTCTCGAATCGACGGGCGCTTTCCGAGCTATTCAGAACATTCCAGACGTTTAACGTTCTATTCGGATTCGGATACGATATCGTTATCCAATAGCGTTTACGGAGTTAGTCGGTGAAATAGATTATAAGAAAAATGAAAATCCCTTTTTATAAATTTTTAAGACTTTAAAAGCCTAAAATATAGGAATTCATTAGTATTGCATTAAAATAAATTAATAAAATTGAACAAAACCCATATTTTATTTAAAATAATAAAAGATTTCTGTATTACATTCTTGCTTTGTGAACAATAGGACGTTCGGTAACTTTCATTCGATAACTGTGTTCTGAATAACGTTTGCAACCTTTGCCGGTCGAGAAGTACGAGTAATCGTACGGGAGTGACGTCACTTCGGTTCCGTTTCGAATACGACAGTTTGACGTTCGATTCGGTTATTGTGAATAAAAATTAAAAGAAATCGTACGATATCTAATCGAATTGGTCGACAACAGAGTTATCGTAAGGTTTTGAATCGACCTGCAGGTGATGAAAATCGTTGACCGCGTAACTGGATCTTAATTTTTGGAAATAAATAAAAGTCACGAGATTTTTATTTTTACCGAATTTGTCAATAACTACCGGCAAACAAATGGTCGTGTACCAATCAATCACTATTCACGGCACAACGATTCTTCCAAAGCAACAGTATCCACGAGTCCAGTTTTATTTAAAAAAGAAGCAATCATGCGTTTAGAGGCACTTTGCACGCGCGCCACTTTGGTTGGTTTCGACTTATCTCGAAAGACCCATACGCTCTATTGCTGCTTTGTTTTGGGATCGTAACTATAAATCCATGTTTCGTCACCTGTTATTATGACCCACACCAAATTTAACGCTCCTTCGTTTAATCTGGTAAGCATGGCATTACACCAAGTAACGCGATCCGTTTCTTGAGCCTCAGTCAAATTGTGTGGGATCCACCGAGAGCACAGCTTTTTCGCACCCAAATATTTGTGTAGTATTGATTGTATTTGACTCATGCCTATGCCTAAAAATGCCCGAATCACATGCCTGTCTGTTTTGATCGTATGGCGCACAGCGTCGATGTTTTTGTTGTTCACAGCAGTGAACGGGCGACCATCACGAAATTCGTCACTGAGATTCACACGACCGCGTTTGAATTCTGCAAACCAGCTATAAATAGTCGTCTTGCATGGTGCTTCACGAAAATTTTATTTTTTATTATATTTTTTTTTATTTGTAAAAACAAGTCACAGTCAGATGAAACAAACTGTATTGTACAGCCAAAGAGTTCCATTTTCAAATGTTGTAATTACTTTTTAACTATTGTTTATGTAAGTGGCCAGTTCCGGAGACTTATGCGCCCTATGTAGGATTGATATCTTTGCACAATCCTTGTTTTCGTATACACATATATCGACTTGTTTAATATATACATACATACCTATACATATATATATACATACGTATGTATGTATATATATATATATATGTATATGTATATATATATATATCTATATATATTGTGTATATATATATATATATATATATATATATATATATATATATATATATGCATTAAAATATCGAGATTAACTACTATAGTATAAAACGAGTCAATTATAATTATTTACTGTTGCTAATAAAAATCGTACTGTAAACCGTGTAAGGTTCCATTTCAAGTAACAACAATTTACATACAGAATAACAAGTAAAACACGACCCAATTAAGTCATGCATATTTAGATTATGACTAATGCTGTTTACACCACATTAATTATAAAATTTTCGAAAGAATAATAATTTCATGTGAAGGCAAATATAATGACTTATTGTAAAGCAAATAAGTTATTTATTACTTATTATATTATTATATTTGCACTTCTGTCATTAAGCTCGAATTATATGTGTGCTTAAATGATGAAGATATAAGAATGGTGCTCTATGGGCAAATAACTTATATTACTTTTTTTTATGACATCAAGTGACGGAAGGAACAAGTTGTACAGACCTTTAAATTGCAAAGATTTGAGAGTTGTGTTGTGGGCAGTGGGCTGGCAATATTTGTCGAAGAACCGATAGTCGATGAGGGAAACGAGTTCTAGAGTGGAGACCACGACTCTCCCAACGTAGTGTAGGATGCCCTCTGGCCAGACGGAGTTACGATCTGTGAAAGGCTTCTGGCAGCACATGGATACAACTGTGGACCGGCCTAAGTGGCGCACATTGGGAGAGTCTTATGTCCAGCAATGAACTGTGATAGGCTGATAATAAATTATATAAGAATGAAGAAAGAATGGTAGCTTAAAACGGTGAAATCGTACCGAAGGTATTTTGGATAGCGTCAAATGTTTTATGCATCCATTTTTTACCTTGTGGTCGAGTGGCTTGCATACCGGTTTAAAACTAACTATTCTATATTGTCTCGGGCCTGTGTGTATGTGGTACCGCCGTTGTTTCCGATTTCCATAACAACAGTACTTTAGCTACTTCTTTTGGGGTCAGAGCAATATATATGATGTTGTCTAATATTTCTTTATTTTTATTTTTTTTATAACATCAAGGGACGGGACGAACAAGTCGTGCGCCTGATGGTAAGCTACACGCCTGTTCATAACAGTTACAGTGCCACTCAGAGCTTTAAATTGCAAAGATCTGAAGGGCATTGCCACTGCGCCCGTCACCCTGAGACATAAGTTGACAAGTCCCTTGTGCCACAATTTCACCAGCACCCTTGCCCTTCAAAACCGGAACACAGTAATGCTGACTAATGTAAGCAGTAATCTGCTTGGCGGCAGAAATAGGTAAGGTGGCATTTTATTTGTTATTTCTGCCGCCTAACAATAATGTCAGCATTACTATGTACTACTCTGGACGAACTCTTTAACAAGGAGCGCTACTGCTACTAAAATTATATAATTATACCTTATAAAGTTTAATGGTGTCTTTATATACAATAAAATCTCGCACAAAACTCTATAATAATCTAAACAAGGTCAAATGAATACGCAAGACGTCATAAAACCCTACCAACTCCATTTTGACCGAAAACGTTAAACGTAACACTTTTCACAATATTATCCAATCGTTCAATCATGACATCATCCACTGTGCCAAATAAAACCTTGTCAGAAAATCCCAACTTGATTGAACTGTATTCGTACCGCATATACGAATAGAATGGTACGGTGAATTAAAAAAAAACCGTGGTCATCAAGTGATCTTTTTCATCTAAGCGGGATATTTGACAAGATATATTATAGCATTAAATGAGACTTAAGCTGATGATTAAATGTACGAACAGAATTTTAATACGTTGCAAAATACAGTACTTATGTGCGTTTAGAAATCAGGCGTTAGAAACAAACTTATGAAAAGATTTTTTTGTGATATCACAATCTTAATGATGTCATACAAGCTACATGCTAATGATCGTTTTGCTAAGAAAGGATGGTGTGTCACCACTGACTTTAATAAATTAAGGAGGCACTACATTTTTTAACACAGAATCGGCTCGAGCCAATCACAAAAAGTTGTATACTAAGAGCCGTACAATAAGAGCTAAAAAGACGTTGCGCGTTTCGCTTCCTCCGCCGCCGTCGCCGCCGCGCCCGACACAAAACTTAAGACGTAAATCTTTTTCTGTCCGGCTTAATGCGAGTCCGTGTCGATAAATACGATGACCCCCTAATGTCTTGATGTGAATTTTAGAACGAATGTCTGACAGATTTGAAGCAAGTATTTGTTTTTTTTAAACTACTTGAAAAAGGAGGAAGTTCTCGATTCGGCTGTTTATTTTGGCGTGTATGTTACGCGATTACTGTTACTATTTGTGAAATGATTTTGATGATTCTTTTAGTGTTTCTAAAGAAGGTACCTCAGTATGTATATTGATCTCATTTGAATTTGAAGAAAATATTACACCTCTGAGGGTGGCAATTGCAATAAAACTTAGCAAACAGATGTAATTGCAATAAAAAAGCCGATAAGCTAACTTATGATCAGTTTTCTTTAAATAAAAAAGGTTTTTAAATCAGAGCGTATGTGATAAGTACAGAAAAATAAAAACGAGTAAGTAGGTAAAGCAAACAAAATTTTTTCAAGACGGCTGACAGCCGACGGAGCAGAGATGTTCTAGTGTAGGCAAGACGCCCTGCGGCAAGATGAACGAACGACTTGACAAAGTTGGCCGGCGACGGCTTGATGCGGGAGGCAAAGGGCCAGGATGCTGATATGGTAACAAAAAGTCATGTTTATTAAGAATTCTATCTAGTTCTTCGGTTTTCACTTTGACTGACTGCTACATGTTGGAAATAAATCTGACGATGGCCATGGGTCCTGCAAAGAGCCCGAAACGTAGTTTTGTCTGAACAAAGATAATATACGCGATTTTGTCACT